AAAATAATAAATTATATTTATATTTATATATATATATATATATATAAAATATAAATATATAAAAAAATTATTATCAATATTAATAGAAAATAATAATAATTGAGGAAAGAGAAAAATGAGAAAGAATTTTTTAAAACGAACGTTGCGATCGATAACCCGACGAAAACGAACAACAACAACAACAATAACAAAAATAATGAATAAAAAAAAAAAAAGAAGAATTTTCAACGTTCTACGTGCATAAGTTGCATTTCAAAGTAGTTGAGAACAGTCCTATAATTTTATTCTACGCTCTTGCAACACACTTACACGCATAAAACACATGTTTATTATCTATAGACATATATATATGTAAATCTATACGTATCCTATTAAACAAATTTATTTTTCCGCTTTTTTTTTTCTTCTTCTTTAAATTTCTCTTTTTCTTTTTGGTTTTACTAATTGTTATTTTTTTTTATTTTTTTATTTTTTTTTTTTATTAAAACGCATCTCGCAAGCAGCATTAAAAAAAAATGTTCTCTTTCAAATTATTCATTCGTTAATTAAAATTATAACACATATATTTTATAAAAAGAAATTCATAGAATCACGTTTGTATTTTTGTCAAAAAAAATTTCCTTTCTATAATATCATTCTAATAGTTAAAAGCAAATATTCGTTATAAATAATTGAATTCAATTGTTGTTAATGAACGATATGCGAGATGCGATATTTGCATTTATTGGGGCATTGATTGGTTTGTCCTTAACATTTCTTTTGTTTTTTGCTAAGAAACAAAACAAAAACAAGAAAAAAGAAAAGAAATGCCAAAGAAGAATACAATAAATAGAAACCAGACAAAGCCCTTATTTTCCCTTTCGACAGAAAAAAAAAAAAGAAAAAAAAAAGAATAAACAAAAAATAAAACCCTCCTGTAGTTATCGGATTAGATTATTATTCATATCGCATGAAACATGGGCGCTGCGGCGAATATATATTATAGTATACACATTTACATATACATGTATATATAAATATATTATACATATATAATATTTATATATATATATATATATATATATATATATATATATNATATATTATACATATATAATATTTATATATATATATATATATATATATATATATATATATTAGAAAAATTATAAGAATATTCATTTTAAATTTGCCTCTTGCTTTTCTCCGACATATTTACAGAATACATTTTATATATTCGTAAGGATTCAGCGAATTTAAATAAACAAATAAAAAATAAATTAAACAAATCAATTGACAGCGTATGAGTCGAGAGTAAGTATAAAGTTTTTAAATTAACAAAAAAAAAAAAATAAAAAATAAGACAATAAAATAAATAAAGAATGAGTAACGGAAGTTAATGAAAAATTAAGTGAATATTTAACGAGATAAATCATTGAATAAGGCTCTTGTTTCTGATCGTTAAAAAAATTACAATTAATTATTGATTAATTAATTATTTATTAATATTTCTTATATTGCACGGTGAGTAATTTATCAGTGACAAAATTTGTGTGGAGAAAAATTTTAATTGAAATAATTTTGTTAAAACTTTGTAAGTGTTTTCAAGTATTTCAGGTTAGTTTTTTTGTTTGTTTTTTTGTAAATATATTGTTCATTCTTTTGTACTATTGTTTTTTCTATAAATAGTCAATATCAATGACAAAATTGATGCCTAAAAAAAATAACCTTAAAAACTTTATAAGTTTTTTTTTTTCAAGTATTTGAGGTTAGTTTTCTTTGTTAATTCATTATTTATTCTTAAGTGTTAATTGTTTTTCTAATTTAACAATGAATTATTTTGTTTTCTGATGCCAAAAAAAATAGAACTTTTAACTTCAATGAGAAAAAAAAAACAAAAAAAAATTTCTTTATTTCAATCTATGAGTTTAGATAAATGCAAATAAAATAGAAAAAAAAAAAAAAATACAAAAAGGGAATTTCTATTATTAAATTTGATTGTAAGTTTCTCTTTCAATTCGTCACACGTCTTTCTCTTTAAATCGAGAAATCTCGTTGAATGGAAACCTAGCGTGAAAGATATTTCTGGCAAATATTTAGAAATGTAGAAATATTCAAACTGTATCTCGATGTATATATGTAAGTACATATTTGCATATATAAATGGTACTCAAGGTTGGGTAAATGTAATATTTGAAATAATTTCAAACCATCAATTCTATAAAGATTTTCTTTACATATATATGTTCTCTCTCTCTATCTTTATATATAAAAATTTAGTGCCATATTATTGGTTTTCAATGAAGATCGAATATACTAAACGGATTCTTATTAAATTTTGTTTATTTTGTGTAATTATTTTTCAACTTAGTACATAGGATAGTTTTTATTGCCAATATTTCTAATTATTATTGTTAATTAAAAAATTTATTATATAGTTAATTTAAGGATTTATTATTTAAAGGTTATCTAATTCTCTACGTTGTTTAAGTATTCAATAGATGGCGTCGTATTTCAATTCAATTATTTCAATTCATATGACATAAGCTTCCTTTTTTTTTCGTGTATTATTATTTTATTCCATTCTAATTGTTATATTATTTATTGTCCTCTTATAATTTACTAAATATTTTATAATATTAAATCAATATTATATAATCTTTCTTATAAATGTCCTTTTTTCCCTTTTTTTTGTATTAGAAAGAATTTCTTACAGATAGCATTAAAAAGTACATGTACATAAATATAGATATACTGAATATTATTTACAGTAATCATAATAGAATCAAACTTTTATAGTTTCCAAGTAATACGAGAGGGAGTAATATATATATATATATATATATATATATGTATATTTTTTCCTATGTCAGTAGAAAAGACGACTTTATATCGCGTTAATAAAACTTTATGTTTCTTTTTCTCTTTCTTTCTTTCGATTTTTCTTTTTATACGTATATGTGTTTCTTTATCGCACACTTTTATTGTAATTTCAAAGTAATAAAAGAAAAATCATCCTGGACAATAACTGATGACAAACAAACTCACACAACTATTATATAAATACATATGTTGAAATGTTTGATGGTTTAATAAAATATAAAAAAAAAATAAAAAAAAAGAAAGAAAAGGGAGAGAAAGAAAGAAAAAGGCATAAAAGAAAAAAGGAGTAAAGAAGTTGATATCAAAAGCTTTTTTAAAAGGACTATTCGGTCTGACTATACTTTTCGTATTTTGGATTGAATATCGATGATACGAGCTAATAAGGTTTACCATTGCCTAGAATTTTTCATTCGAGTTTCGTTCCAATACTTTCACGTACGATAATATATTTAAAATAGGTATAGAATATATAATGATATCATTTAAAAGTATATAAAATGAATCAATATAAATATAGTATATTAAAGTAAAACATTCTTACAACAAAATCAACAAAAATCAATCCTGAAAATTTTTATTGTATTTTTTCGATTTTTTTTTTATGTAGAATCACCCCATTTTCGCTTGTGCCACCAGTTACAAACCACTCTGTATAACTTCACATTTAATAATGCTATTCTAAATAATATCATACTTACTAATGTTATACTAAATAACTGTATAATATTGTACTAGATAATGTTATATATATATAACATTTAAAAATATATGTAAAACTATAAAATATTCTATATAGTATCAAACAAAATAACAATTCTAAATATTTGGTTAGTTTAATAAATGGGATGCATATATAATTTCATTAAATGACAATAGTTATTGCTATATATAAAAATATTATATTAAATAATATTCTTTTTTTATATATACTAATAATTATAGTTTCATTCAAAGTATATATTTAACATTTAAAAATATATGTAATACTGTAAAATAGTGCACACAACTGGAATCAAAATAACAATTTCAAATATGACATTTGTTTATTAGAATTAGTTTCATAGGAAATGTAAATGACTATGGTTATTGGTATATATGAGTAATAATAGGAGTATATATACTCAATATATACCAGAGTGATTCCTTCGACTACACAGATTATTTGGAGAATCTGCTAGCTCGGCTTAATGCTACGTGCCAGTGTCAGAAACACGTACGAAATGTGAGATAACAACACCACCTACGCATGTCTGACCAAGACAAACATATAAGCCTCTAGATTGCATGTATAGTTAGACAGACTGAGTGAATGAAATAGAATGAGAGAGACAGAGACAGAGACAGTCACACAAAGACGGTGAGAGGAAGATAGTTATACATGGAACCTAATCGTGCGAGCCTCAAAGGTCATCCATGGCGCTTATATATCGATTAAGGACTAACTGACCCGAATATTCGTCGAACAGATCTACTATACGCGTTTATGCGCAATGTGCATATCCACTAGGAAGATTCTCTTGTAATGCTAACACGAATATCAATATGACTTCTAGGTTGATCTCCCTAAAACTTAAAATACATATACACATATACAAAATATAGATAGGTATATGTATCATGTACATACCTGTAAATGTATGTATCTGTACATTATCATACACATGTGTATCTATATTTTTATATGTATCATATTGTACTGTTCAACTTATATTACATCTTATAACTAACTATATCTTTTGAATAAGTTTTTACAATACTTTAAAATACTGTAATTG